AAAGCAGAACTTCACTTCTTTTGGCTCTTTCATCCTCCCTGTTTTGAAGCCCTGTTTTATCTTTTATTTCTTTAGATGGCTTGTCCTTACTTTTGTCCTGTATGGAACTATTATTTTTTTTTTTCTGTCAAAAGTAGTCTGTTTACAAGTGAAATAAAGTGTGCTGTGTTTAAAAATAAGATGCTCTTCAAGTTTTGCCAAGCATAACAGGATTATCAACAAATGTAGATAGTATATGTGTTTCACACTTACTGATCTAGTTCATCCTACTTCTTTTAGCAATGGACTGTAGATATTACTGCATACCTTTTTGGAATAATTATATATAACATGAGTTTGTATTTGCATATTTTCTTAATGTTAATATGTGAGCAAAATGTAATTGTCTAATGAAAACCGTCCAATAAGTATTTAAAGAAAAAATGCTTTAGGATATTTGGCCATTACTTTTTTTTTTTTCCCCAGAATGTAGGTATCTGTATCTCCTGTTTAGCATGGAAGGGGGGTGTTTGTTTGTAAATTTCTCTTGCATTGCTTTTTCAAAAGGACAGATAAGTACGTATAACAAATGTCACATACTAATGTGGTATTTGGGGGGTGGGTAGCTTGCTGGCATATGAAACTTTTTTTTTATTGCAAGAACCCACTATCAAAAACTACATGACTTGTAATTCCTCACACTGTAAATACTTTAATTAATATTTAATGGAGGGCGAGGTAAACATCAGGAACAGCCATCTTAATTAAGATAGGTGATGGAGCTAAGAATGTTCTATGCCTTGATTTGTAGTCTTCAGAGTACCTAAGATACAAAGGCATATTGATCCATACAGCAAACAGATTCACAGCCACTAGTTTCTTTACAGTTGGCCCTTCAAAACTGAGAGTGCAAAACTCTGTTTTTGAAGAACTTACCTTGATGACTGTACTGTTAATAGCTATGTTTCAGTGCAGCAGCTAAACCCTGATGAAACTGTTGAGTCTTTGAGTATGGAGTATTTAACTTGTTCTATAGGAACTTATTCTATAGGAAATGTTTTTATCACTTCTATTTTAATCATTTTGTGAGAATTTGTTGAGGCTGGGACTGACAAACTCATCCAAAAGCAGTAAGAGCTCACTTTGATGCACAGAACAATCATACACTTCCATCACTGGTAGACAGTTGCTTATTAATTCTCAGTCAGGGAATACTTCACCACAGGCTTTGGGGAACCTGCAGAAAAAAAGGTACAGAGGTAGAAAAGAATCTGGGGTATTTTCAGCTTTTAATGAAGTAAAAAGAGTTGTTGATTAACACTTCACAGTTCTGACATTCTTCACTCCAGTTTTGATCTCACATAGGATTCAAATTACTGCAAAATTCAGCTGTTCAGAACAGAATAAATATTAGCCAGTTGTAAAAGTGTTAGTAACATTATTGATAGTGTTCTTTACCAGTTGATGTTGTTTATAGTAGGAGCAATGCTAGTGTTTTGTTCTATAGCAATAAGTACTTTTCTGTTCACTTCTAATGTTGACTTTATATATTGAGTAAGTAGAGTAACCCCAGAATACCTGATGTGTGTTCTGGTCTGATGAATACTGCAAATGTGCAAATGTCTTGTAATGAACTGAAGTGCTCGTTTCTGTTCTCGTATGGCCATAAATTCTTCCTGATACAGAGCTCTTTCCTAACCCATTCCTGCTAAATGGGAGTTGTGGAATCATCTTTGTTTTCCAAAAAGGTATCTCTGAAACATTTTTTTGTACCAAGTGTTTACTGTAGGAAGCATTATTTTAGTTGGATTTGCTTCAGTCATGCAAATAAGATTCTGAAGAACAGCTCTGCCAGTGAAATTGTCTGACACTGAAGCTTTTAATAAGGGCAAAAAAAATGTGCTGTTACCCAAAAGGGACAAGGAAGTGAGATTCAGTGAATGCTATCTGAATGTTTGCAGTGTAACTTCTTGGAAAAGCTCTCAAAAAATTTAAATCTCTCATCCCTTGAGATGCATAATAAAATTCATCAGGTAACCAGTTTGTTGCCATGCTTTCCAAAACTGTGTTCTACTGGCCTGCAGATTTGTGGAGGCTACTCAGTAAAACAGAGTTTTTCTGCCTTTTGGAAATGCTTCATAATCTCCCATTACCTGTATGCTGAGTTTGTTTTTTTTTTTTAATTTGTTTCTTCCTCTGCATTCGTGCCTCGAATTTTAGTTCCCAGTACCATGGTATGACTGGATCAACTTTCACTGGCAAAAACACAAACCGCTGACAGCATTTTTTTATTTGCCAGACACTAAGACAGTTTAATTTTTTCCAAATATTTTTGTTCAGCAGCATTATTCATACACCGATGAAAATTTCTTTGTGACCTGGGAACTTGCTGTTGTTAGGGTCTTTCTCTGAGCTCTGTGTTCTGCTCTGATGGTGAATGAGTTTTTTTTTTTTTTTCCGTGAAGGCAATGAGAGTTGCCACTTAGAGAACCGGCACATTTATTCCCAAGGTGATCGTGCTGTGGTGACCTGAGAACTGTCACCTGAGCTCCTGGTTGCAGTGGTGCATTGGTTTGGATGGGTAGGTGACTTCTCCCTGTGTGTTAGCTGTTGTCTTGCACTCCGGAACCTACATGTTCACCCGGGAGTAGCTAAAGTTACTTCTGTATGGCTTTCCAAACATGATTCATTAGCAACCTGAAGCAGCAGTGTCCGAATCTACAGCCAGACAGTCAGCCTGCAGCTCTGCTTTTCTCAGAGATACCTGGACAGCACTGTCACTCTTTAACGTAAGCATCGTGAAGATCAAGGAGAGCCCACATTTTCAGCATCCGATGCTTTAGGTGGATACATAGGGGTGCTTAGCATTGTGGGATTCTTCGTTCCGATTGCTGAGAGAATCTCTGTGTGTGAGCTAAAAGTAAATGTGTCATTCATTTAACAATTTCCTTTTTGGCAGTGATATGATAGCTTGTGTTTTATGTGACCAAATGAACTTGGGCGCTGCAAACCATTGCTTTTTTTTCTTTCCTCTCTTGTTTTCCTCTTAACTCTACTTTGCCTTCAGCTATTTCATTTCAGGCTATTAGAGGTGTCTACTTCAAGGCAAACTGGTCTATTACATATTCAGTAGTGTTCAAAGTAAAGACTAAGATACTGTATAAAGAGGTGAATAACATTGTCAAGGAACAAAAGTTGGCTGCGGTGGTCTCTTGGGAAACTCTTGAAGCCTGAGGATGAGGTATCTGCAATTACATGTGGATTGTGAAGTTAGTGGAATTGGAAATGGGCCTCTGGTAAACGAGTCACTCAAATGATCACGCTATAAAATGTATATAATCCTTGGAGCAAACTGTGTTAGTACTGCTTTATTGCTGCTTTTGTAAATATTCTGGTTGCAGTTACCAGTTAAAGCTCAGAAAAGTGTCATGGCTCTCTAACTTGAAGGAAAGTAATCCAGGTAACTAGTGGTAGGACGAGAGGCAATGGCCTCAAGTTGCGTCAGGGGAGATTTAGATTATATATTAGGAAAAATTTCTTTACTGAAAGAGTGGTCAGGCATTGGAACAGGCTGCCCAGGAAGGTGGTGGAGTCCCCATCCCTGGAGGTGTTTAAAAAATGTGTAGGTGTGGCACTTCAGGATATGGTTTAGTAGGAATGGTGGCGTTGGGCGGGTACTTGGACTTGATGATCTTAGAGGTCTTTTCCAACCTATGATTCTATGATTCAAAGCTGGATTTCTGATTATTCAAATGTGATCAGTTATTGCCTTGACCTGTTCACAGTAGGAGAAGGGTAAAAAGAAAGGAAAAGATCACCTGTTCCTAATTTGGTTATTTCAGGTTTTAATGTATTACTTTTTATTCCAATCACAGTAAGCATCCTTGTATCAAACGGTGAAAGTGTAAGACCGGGTGGAGTAGAAATTGTGACAGAGGGAGAGTGATTTCTCCAGTTGCCTTGAAATGGCAGCTGAGGGAATGACAGGCATTGCAATGAGGAGCGTGTCTATAGTGCCTGACTTGAGTTGTTCTAAACAAGGTATTGAGCAGAATTCTCTCAGGTACAAGCTGTTAATTTGAAAATTTCTTGGAGTATGGTATGTTTGTTTAACTGCATGCAGTCAGAATTATTCACTGAGCATGAATTGTGCGTGGAACCGTTCTGTCTTTGAGATTAACAGTATTGGCGATCTTCCCAACACTTACATGCAACACATTTATTTCACAAAGTACAGAAATAGTTTGTATCGGCACTAATTCATTTTGCTCTTTTCCTTAACGTTGTAATCTGAACAGCACAGTTCAGGGATGAAAGTGACACTGAAACTTAACTTTGAATGTCAGTAGTTCCTGACTGTATTTTCAGGTTGATCTTTTTTTTAAATAAAAGGGATAAATAGATGAAAATATTATCTGATAGTTCCCATTTTTCAGAACACAATTCTTCTAAAACAAAAGATGAGAACTCAGAACTATGTCCTAGTTAAGCGGACAGTCTTAGCATGCATGTGCCAACTTATGTATGTAGCTTTGGGGAACTGTATAGGCATCCATTAGATACTGCTAGGTGCATGTTTTTGGAGATGTCAGCCTTACTTACGCACACTTTACATAATACTGATGCAGCACTGTGAGGTTTTTAAGCATTCGCAGCAGGTTAGGTTGCTATTGATTGAACAACTGCTTTCCGAAGATGGATGTATTTCTCACACGCTTTCATGAGTCAGAAAATATAAGGTGATTGTTGGTTATTATTTTCCTCGCTGTTGTACTCATTAACCAGCATTTCTGCAAAAAAACTATATCGTATATTGGGAAGACTACCAAGCAGGATATCTGAAGTTTCTGTGCCAGAATGTGCATGTGTGTGGCATGCACAGGAGTAGATGCAGCCTTCTGTTTAGTATAAAGGACTAGAGATGCTTATGTGTTGTCAACACTTACAGGACTTTCTCAAATTAAAAATTTGCATGCAACTTTGACAACTGAACACTGTTCTTTGTTTACCTTTGATTTCAGAGTGTCAATAGTATACCATGTCCTGTGACTGCAGTCAGAACTTTACCCACCTTAGAAGTTAAACAAGCAGAAAGGCCGTCAAGCAAAAGCAAAGATCCTCCTAGGGACGAAGAAAAAGAAAAGAAAAGGAAAAAACACAAGAAAAGATCTCGGACAAGATCTCGATCACCATTCAAGTATCATTCATCATCTAAGTCCAGATCTAGATCACATTCAAAAGCAAAGCACTCGCTTCCCACTGCCTATAGAACTGTCAGGCATTCAAGGTGGGTTTGGAAACCAAACATATTCTTAAGAGTTTGTGTGGGCTAACACTTAAAACATTTTTGCACTTCTTCCATTACATAAGCGTCTTTGTACGTATTACAAAGGGTATAGTCACCTTGAAGACACTAAATAAATATCATCAAAAGTGGAAGGTCTTTGAAAATAGTTTTAATGAAATAATGGATCATTAATTTGTAATTACGTAGTGCAGAATTGGTACCAGTAAATACTTTTTCAGTCTGGTCTGTGAAGTATCTGGCAATAACATGTAGGAATGTGATTGTAGCAGGAAGAGAACTTGCTAGTAAATCTACAGCTGTTGCTGGAGTAAAGTAACCAGTCAAGATAAGAAAGAGAGGTAGAGAACAGAGTGGTTGAACAGCAAAGCTCAGAAGGGAAGAGCAATTGGGTAAAGCGTGTGAAAAAAATGTGATGGATGAATGGCAGGAGAGATATGACAGGAATCCAAGAAGGGTCAAAACAGTTGATGAGGAAGGGAGACTGTAGAATAATATAGCCTGGAGCAGTTAATTCTATATTTGATCGTTAATGAGATTAAAAACACTATATTAATTATCCAGCTATAAGATGATGTATATTGTGTTATATCAATATTGTTAATTACATCTGTGCCATTTCAGTCTAAGCACCTTTAAAGTTTACTGTCTGTAAAACATATTGTAATACCTGACTGCTGTGCCACACAGCAGTTACTGTGGTCACTAGGAAGGGCTTAGTCTCGAGGTTGTGTTCTCTGGCTCATGCTATAGAACAGTGTTTTAAGTAACTTGTAGTTGAAACGACTTGTGTATGTAAATGCTACCACAGCTATAGAAGTATGTGATGCATACAAAATCGTGCCTAGCTTTATCTTTGTGGCCATGCCTATGACATATGTTTTTTCCTGAAAAACAGCTTCTGGCCCTTTGTGATGGTGTGACAAAACTTCTCGTCTTACATTTTCCTTGTGCTTTTTGTTTGTTTAACAAATTGTCTAATTATGCCAATATGAGTAAGTGTTAGCACAATGTAACTTTGTATTTTGTACAAGATTTTTAAGGTTAAATGCAATACTTTGCTGAAGACATCTCTGGTATTCAGAGATGCAAGGAACGAAATGAATGCTACTTACCTGGCTGCCTTTGACAATAGGTGATCATGATGCTCTGTGTTATAAGGCATATTCCAAAATACTGTGTGCCATTCGTTTTTTGTGCTTACTGGTGTGTAAGGGGAATCATAGAATCATAGAATGTTAGGGGTTGGAAGGGACCTCTGTGGGTCATCTAGTCCAACCCCCCTGC